CCTCCAGCAAACTTGTCTGGATTTCTTCAGGGTGATAATCAAAGAAATATATAGCACTAATCCAGTCATATTTGGATCTTGACTTTAGTAAGTAGGATAACATGAGTCAGTTAAAGGCGAATCATGTGAAAATAAATGACCGAACAAATTGTGTGTGCATGTATGCGTAAAATTGAATTATTAGTAGTTGATACTAAGTGTTAATTTGTTTGTATATGAAGGAAATATTAAAGTGCAAGTTGAAGGTTAAAAAATTGTTTCTGAATCGTCGATGTGAAAGTAAAATGCGAATTGTTAAATGCATAATTCTATTGCTAAATTGACCCACATTAATTTCAGTCAGAATAAAGATGTATGTGAAATAAACAGGTTGGATAAAGAAAGGACCCAATTACTTGTTAACGAACATTTACCAAGTAGTTGGTGGTTGAATATTACCCTTTCCATTCAGGCTGTTCTTATTTGCCCATATATACAGCGCTTCTGCTGTCAATCTTTCTTTATGAGTGTTAAAACCTTTCTGAAGTTGATCTCGTGTCCTGTTTCCAACGCATGTAACGCTATCACTGACATATTCTCAAGTTCCTTCATATCAACCAAGGATTCGAGAACATTTTTCACACACTTTATGTGTCCCTTCGATCTTACATTAAATTGCCTTGAAGTTTCTCCCAAATAATCTGCATCACATTCATGACCGTTAGTCTCATAAACAGTGTTCTGTTGTTCCTCCTTTGGGAACCTATCCTAAACCTTCACTAATGCCCATCTTATGGTGTCACTAACCTGGAAATACACTCTTATATCATGCTTGTTTAGAATCCTCCTGATTTCTTCCAGTGTGTCACTACGGTATGGGGTGACCATGGTGAACTTTCGAAATACATTCTAGCTTAGCTTTTCTTTCATTTCTAATAATCTTCTTTAGAAACGTTTGGGTAGATGTTATCCCCAAGTGTAGACAAACCTCTATTCAATTCAACTTGTGGTCTTCCTTATCTGCAACAAGATTAATATTTCTGTTGATTAAATTTTTAACAAGAGTGACTTTCGTACACAGCGCATAAGCCGAACCACAATCTACTTATCTTTCAGAATGTGTTGATTTCCTGAATGCACTTATTTTCAATTTATTATTATGTCTTCGTTTGATCAAACAATCGAGAAACGCTAGTTTGTGGTCACTGGACTCTATTTCCTGTGTTAGCTTGATGCTCTCTGAAATGCTGTTTACATCAAGCAATTCTTCCAAACCATTTCGTTTAATGATAGTAAAAATGTCCTCTACATGCCATAACCAGACTTTTGGTAGATGTGCACATCTTGTGATCGCATTGGTTTGTAGGGTATGCATGAATAAATTCACTACAATCGGAGAAACTGGTGAACCCATTGTTATACGTTCTATTTTTCTGTTCAGATCTCCTCGAAATGTGAATAATGTGGATTGTAAACACAATTCCAAGCACCTAATAGCTTCGGATGGATCTGACGGACATCGTGAATCCAAATCTCAGTTAGATTCTAAACAATCATAAATAATATCCAATGCTCTGTTGATAAGTGCATTAATAAATAAGGAAGGTACATCAAAACTTCTCATCGTTTCATCCTCTTCTATATGGATGGTATCGATATTATCTTTGAATTTAATAGTTTTTAGTTCTGTATATGAATGTATTAGCACAGTATAGAGTTGACCTGATTTGATTGTTAAACGCAATATATTTCTTTCACTATCACCCTGAAGAAGTCCAGACAAGTTAGGTGGACGGAACGTTGGAATCACTTAAATTTCAATCGCTGAGATTATTTGAAATATATTATTTTACTTATAGTCAATTATTTGACGCATTCAGAATAAGAAACTTAGTATTGAGTTACGAATAGTATAACTCTCAAGACGCTGTGTTGCACTATCTTTCGGACCAAGCGATTATGATGAATTGACATGCGCTAGCCCTGGACAGCTTTCATTCTCTCAGGCACCATATCGTAAAATGGCCATCAATTCGCCTTTTCCAACTAATCCCAGAGCTGGCTAACAAAACACGATGTGTGGGACGCTGTGGTGGTATTCGTAAAACATGTAAAAGCCACCAGAATCGATGTTCCCAGTTGTTAACGTCATATAAATTGCCATCACTATGACGAAA